CCTCCTCCTCCTCCTCCTCTTCTTTTTTTTTTTAATTTTGAACTTTGGCCACCCATTCAAGCCTCAGTTCCCTCTTCTGCTAAGCACTGAGGTATCAATCCATCCCTCTCAAGGCTAAAAAAGAAAGACTGTGACAGCGTCCTGCAGGGAGGAGGCTCCCAATTGCTGGGGGTTCCCTTCCTCGCTGTCTTCTGGGTTCATCCAAAATTATTCTCCCAAGTGCAAATCTCCCCAGGATTGGGGTGGGATGGGGAAGAGGACTCTCCGAAGAGGTCAGATGTAGCCCCAATCTTAGGAGTGTGTGTGTGGGGTGGGGGGGAGAGGAGGAGGTGGGGACAACTTGTTCCTAGGAGACAGGGCTTCCTGCACATCTTCCCTAGATGCCTTCCCTGAACCCTTACTCTACCGGCGGGAGAAGGAATCATTACCCCAATATGTGGATGAGGAAACCAAAGCCCAGTGAAGTTAAATAGCGCGCTCAAGATCACACAGCCAGGAATGAAGTCCGAATTGGGACGCAAGTCTGTGAGATATTCAAAGACGCCCTTTTTACCCTACGAGCTCTCCCTCCCAGTCTAGGAGCCAGGGCTCTCCCCTCCCCCACCCCTACCCCACCTTCCTGTTCCCCAAACATGGCCAAGGCCAGGGCATCAAGGTTGGGCCAGGCACCTCTTCGTCTTCCTGGGGAGCGTTCTTTCTAGCACCAGTCGAGAGTCTGGCACTGGGGCGCCTCTCCCACCTGCGGGTTCTCTCCCAGACTCCGGCGGCAGGGCCGCGGAGAAGGAGCCAAGGCACAGGTGAGGCCAGTGCGCGGGGAGAGGGCGCTCAGGCCCCGGTAGGGTGGGCGCGCGAGAGAGAGCAGAGCGCGGAGGCGCGGGGGCGTGAGCGCGGGCCCCGGGAGCAGCCGGGGACAGAGGCAGCGCGGCAGCCCTCGCCCGGCGCTGGCCGCTCCCGGCCCCCGCCCCCTCGGTGGTGGCTTGCTCTTCGCTTCTACGGCTCCGAACCAGACACAGCCTCCACCGCCGCCCGGCGCGCTGCAGGCTCCCGGGAACAGCCCCGCGGGCCGCGGTCGCTTCCTGTCCCCAGCGCCAGCACTAGAGGGACGCAACGCGGCCACCGACCCGGAGGCGCACGAAGGCGAAAGGGGTCCCGGGGCCCCGGCGCAGCGCACGGTGAGCGCCCCCCGGGGCTCGGGGATCCCCTAGCCGCGGGTCCCAGCGTGCCACCTCACCCCGGGTGCCCGATGGGGTCGCCCGGGGGTCGCAGGGCTGAAGTTGGGAGCACACGCAGCCCGCCCCTGGCGCCGAGCCCGACATGCTGCCGCCCGGGCGCAATGGCACCGCGTACCGGGAGCGGTTTGGACAGCAGCAGCTTGCACATGGAGGCGCCGTGGGAGGTTCAGAGGGGGCAGCGCCGCTGGGGCCGGCGCAGGTGGTCACGGCCGGCCTCCTGACGCTGCTCATCGTCTGGACCCTGCTGGGAAACGTGCTGGTGTGCGCGGCCATCGTGCGAAACCGCCACTTGCGCGCCAGGAGAACCAACGTTTTTATCGTGTCTCTGGCTGTGTCCGATCTCTTCGTGGCGCTGCTGGTCATGCCCTGGAAGGCGGTCGCCGAGCTGGCCGGTTACTGGCCCTTTGGGGCCTTCTGCGACGTCTGGCTGGCCTTCGACATCATGTGCTCCACCGCGTCCATCCTGAACCTGTGCGTCATCAGCGTGGACCGCTACTGGGCCATCTCTAGGCCTTTCCGCTACCAGCGCAAGATGACCCAGCGCGTGGCCTTGGTCATGGTAGGTCTGACCTGGACCCTGTCCATCCTCATCTCCTTCATCCCAGTCCAGCTCCACTGGCACAAGGACAAGGCAAGTTCCTGGGGCAGGGTGGACCCGCCATCCAACCCGGCCAACGCGACGCCCTGGGATGAAGCGGGAGAGCCAGAGGGGAGGGCAGAGAACTGCGACTCCAGCCTGAGCCGAACTTACGCCATCTCCTCCTCGCTCATCAGCTTCTACATCCCCGTGGCCATCATGATCGTGACCTACACGCGCATCTACCGCATCGCCCAGGTGCAGATCCGCAGGATTGCCTGCCTGGAGAGGGCGGCGGAGCGCCGCAGCCGCACGGCCTGTGCGCCAGACACCAGCCTGCGAGCGTCCATCAAGAAGGAGACCAAGGTCCTCAAGACCCTGTCGGTGATCATGGGCGTCTTCGTGTGCTGCTGGCTACCCTTCTTCATCCTTAACTGTATGGTCCCCTTCTGCAGCAGACACCCCGAGGGCCCTCGCACGGGCTTCCCTTGCGTGAGTGAGACCACCTTCGACGTCTTCGTCTGGTTCGGCTGGGCCAACTCGTCTCTCAACCCCATCATCTATGCCTTCAACACTGACTTCCGGAAGGTGTTTGCCCAGCTGCTGGGGTGCAGCCGCCTCTGCTCCCGCACCCCGGTGGAGTCAGTGAACATCAGCAATGAGCTCATCTCTTACAATCAGGACACCGTCTTCCACGAGGAGATGGCGGCTGACTACATCCACATGATCCCCAACGCGGTGACCCCGGGGGACAGGGAGGTGCTCACAGAGGAAGAGGGCCCTTTAGATCCTATGTCCCAGGTCTCTCGGACGTCCCCAGACGGTGACCATGCTGCTGCGTCTGTCTGGGAGCTGGACTGTGAGGGGGAGATTTCATTAGGCAAAATCATGCCTTTCACCCCAAGTGGATTCCATTAAACTGCATAAAAAATGCTCCCCATGGGTCTCTATAACATCACAGACATTAACAAGCATGTGGAAAACACACACGCACACGCGCACACACGCACACACGAGCACGCACATGCACGCGCACACACATGCGCACACATACACATGCACACACACATGTACTCACGCACACACGTGCACGCACATATGCACACACATTTCCAGTGCTGCTCAGTTTATCAGTTCTCCTCTGTCTCTATGTAGTAGCCTTTGTACTTCAAAGTCTTTGCTGACTGGTTTGTTGTTGAAAGAATGAGCAGAGGAGGTTGGAACAAAGTCAGATATACCCCAGTCTGGCAGAGGTGGACCAGTGGTCCTTTTAGAGAAAAGGAGGGAGGTGGTGTTTGGTCCTTAAAAAAAAGTGGGACTTGGTCTTTAAAAAATATACGCTCCCCTCCCTTTTTAAGCACATGGATTGCTCAGTGACTTGCTCTTGGGTTGATTTTTAAATGACAGACTCAGTGTTTGTATGTAATGCTGATGGGATGTGTGGCCCTCCTGTATCTCGCTTCCTGTGGCCCTGTGTTCATGTAGTTTCTGCTCTCTCGGTGTCTTTACTACAGCTGAGGACCTCTTCCTGACTTGTTCCAGTGTCTAATAAACACAAATTATGTGTGTTATGGGGTGATTATCTTTGCTTTGCCAGATTAGTTTTGAGGATGGCTCCTGGAGAAACCACGAGAGCACCTTTTCAAAGCAGGGAAGATTTTTGCTGGGTGTAGAAGCACACATTTATTTATTTATTTATTTACAGACAGTTTGGCCCTAAAGATGCACATGGGGCAAGAGGTATTGAAGAGCTTCCGATTTTTAAAAAAATAGATGCATATATCTTGAGTCTATACTGAAAGCTAGCTTTCAATGCCATGACATCATATAGGAAGGTCAAGCCTGGAATTCTGACTTTTTTTTTCTGACTTAGAATCTTCTCTTTAAAATAACACAAAACAATCCTTCTGATTCCTCGACAGAAGCTATCAGTTCAGTGAAATGGTCATACAGAAGAATAGCTAGATCTTTCTCAACTTCAAATCTGTAGTGTTTTAACATTATGTGGCTTTTGATCAACCACACCCCCTGAAGGGCTTTGAAATACGTGAGTTGATATGCTGTAAAAAAGAAATCCCACTTTTAAATAGGCATTTTCATTTGCAAACAGTAGGAAAAGAGAGAATGAATTTTAACTAACATGTAGGACCCAGAGATGAAATTTGAATGAATTGGAAATTGGAACATCTGTTGATTGAGGTACCCCACCAAAAAGTCCAAGGAATTCCAATCTTGTGGCTTGTCCTCTCTGCAGTGTGGAAGGTGTGAAGGGGAGAATTTTATTTCAGAAGCATTCCAGCTGAGAGCAGATTATTACCATTAGATATAAATGGTAGCCTTGTTGATGGAAGCAAATGAAATGTGAATACGTAATTTCTTACAGTCAGTCTCTACTTTGAAGCAGGCTTATCAAGGACACTTCAATCAATGTTGGCCTCTATAGGGATAATTTTATTGTCAGTCTACTGAATAGCCATGTGTCATTTGCTGCAAAAGGTACAGTCTCTGGCACATAATGCTTAGCAAATATTTGTTGAATGAATAACTGATTATTTCTGGAACAGTGAGATTGGAAGCAATCCTATGTGGTAATTAATTTCCATTTATAGTTTAGTCCAACCAATGTAGGAATCTGAGGTCTGTGTTCAGTTTTTTACCTTTGATGAACTGATAGCTAAGTGGACCATTAGGGAATGTCAGTGAAGAGTACCCTGCTCTGTTTCAGGAGATGGCTGGCTGTGTGACCTTGAATGAGTCAATTAACCTCTCTGGGCCTCACCTTTTATCTGCATCTGTAAATTGAAAGACTTGCACTAGAGCAGTTTTCCAAATTGTGCTGCACGATGCAGATGTTAATGGGTAGGGTCTAGGGTGGAGTGAGTTCAGCAAATGCAGGTACAGTATCGATTTTCTCTACAGGGCTTCTTGGGACTTTTCTTAGACATTGTGAATCCCCGAGCAGGAGAGAATTCCACGTTGGTTTGCAATGCCTATGACCGTGTGAATCCTTGTTCGGTGGAATTCCTTATTACTGGATCTCTGGAGACTACAGTGGCAGGGAACACAGTTTAAGAAACTTCAATTGACCTGGAAGTCTCTAAAATGCAGCTGCTCTATTCAAAAGGACAGGTGGTTAGAAGCAGAGTATTTGCTGGCAAACGTTATTCTAGGCCCCAGTTCAAATAATTTCTGGGTCAGAAAGAAATGGTTGATGTGAGGACTTTGGAAACCCTTTCTGCAAAATATCACTCATTATAACTATTTACACCTATTAGGCACTAGGCACTGTCCTAGGAACATAGCTGCCAATCAAATGCTCAGCCTTGGAACTTCTGTTTTAATGGGAGGGAGACAAGCAGACGGATCCTACGACACCGTGCTGTATGGCAGCGTGCTGTTTATTTAAGGTGGCTCAGGGAGGCCTCTAAGAAGAGGCACAACGAAGAGAGACCCAAATGAAGAAGGAAGGGTCGGAGCGATGCTGGTGTCCAGGAGGAAGAGTGCTCCGGGTGGAGGGACTGGCAAGTGCCAAGGCCAGGAAGTGGGGATGCTGGGTACCCTGGGAGACGGGAAGGCGGCCCATGGGCTGGAGGGCTGCGAAAGGTTTTTTTTTTTGTGGAGGGCAGTGTCACCAGCCCTCATATGTGGGATCCGAACCGGGGCCCTCTGGCGTCCCAAGCCAGTTCCTAACCATCGCGCCACTCGGCCGGCCCTGGGATGTGAAAGGTTAATGCTAAGAACACCTACAGCAGTAACAGCAGGCACTCTAGAGACCCGTCCTATGCAGGGTACTACTCACGTGCTACTTCAGTTAATGCGCTTTTAAGGCACGAGGAGGCTAACTACCTAGCCCAGGGTCACATAGCTCACGAGGGGCCGAGCTGCACTTGAACCCGGGCATGGAGTTTTTCATCTAAACTGCCTGCGGTGGTGAGAGGCACTGCCAGGGCATCCGCAGTCAGCAAACGCACTTAAGGCCTGCACCACAATATTCCTCGTTCATTTTTTAATGAACTGTGGCATTCCTGTATCCATTCGTAAGACCACCCTCACTGGACGCCTGCTCTGAGCACACCTTGGTGCTTGTAGGGCAGGTAGCAGAGGGCAGTAGAAAAAAAAAGGCCGTGTCCTGAGCTCTTTCATGGATGGCCAAGTGCTTTCCCGATTCCTGTTTGATCCTCACATTAACCTCACGTACTATTATTTTCCCATTTTACAGATGAGGACGCTGAGGAACAGAGAGGCTAAGTGGCTTCTCCACGGTCATGTGACTAGCCAGTGGTGGAGCCAGGGTTTACCCCTAGGCCAGTGGTTCTCAATTGGGGTGATTTTGTCCCCCAGGGGATATTGGGCCATGTTTGGAGATATTTTTGGTTGTCACAACAGGGAGTGGGGTGCTCCTGCCACTTAGTGGGTAGTGGCCAGGGATGCTGTCAAACATCGTGCAGTGTAGAAGATGGCCCCACAACAAAGGCGTACCCCGCCCGACCCAGACTGACGGACCCCCGTTCCAGCTGCCTGCCCACAGAGCCACACTGCCCAGGCTTTGAAGCTCCACAGCCCCCAGTTCAAAGTTTAGCGGCCCCCATGTATTAGTTGTCTGAATTTGGGCACCTCGCCTAGCTTCAGTTTGTTATTTGAGAAATGGGTACATCAACCCCAAAGGTTCGGGTTCGGGTTCAATGAGTGTGTATAACACTGAGGTTACTTTTGTGTCATTCTCTCTTCTCTTTTCTTTTCTTTTTTATTTTCTTTCTCTCCCCGCCCCTCCTCTCCCCGCCTCTCCCCTCCCTTCTGCTTCCCTCCCCTGTCCTTTTCTTCTTTTCTCATTAAAAAAGAACTTTATGGCTGGATACATTTTAAAAAGACTTTGAGGTTCCTAGTTTGGGTAGAAGTTCATCGTCCTAGAAGCTAATAGTCGTGAGAGCTGAGACTCATTCTGTCTTGCCCCCACTGTCTTCTCAGCCTAGAAGAGTGTCTGGCACAGAGTAGGTGCTCACTAAATGTCAACATCTCTCTCCACCTTGGTGTCCTACACACACACACACACACACACACACACACACACACACACACACCAGTCTTGGGTGTTACAATTAAGTGAGTAACTAGGTGTTTACACAGCAATTCCTGGGGTGACGTTGCTCATGGCAGGAGGTGGTCCTCACATTTTGGGCCAATCAAAGGCCTGCAGGGCTGAAAGCCAAACAGGAAGTGTGATCATCACACAACACACTTGAATGTTCTTTTATAACCAGCGAAGTGCAACCACACTGTCCCCCCTAGAGCTCGCATACACCTGGTGAGGTCCTTCCAGCCTGCCCATTAAAGAGAAGAGACAGTTGACCTGGGGAGGGCTCCAGAGACTCACCCAAGGTCACCTGGTCAGAAAGACTCACACTGAATTTGAAGGTGGCCTTAATTCCTGTGCCTTATCCACCATACTGGGCATAGAAGGAGCATGTGACAACAGGTGAGCATGGATCACTTCCTTAAACTTTGCATCTCCCTCTTATCTATTCCTGGTGGCTCTGTGTGATGATAGGAATGACCTGTCCCCAACGTTGGGGAAGTTCCATGGCCTGGTTGGTAAGACCAGACATGTAACTGACAAAAATACCCTTTGTCCTCAGGGAATGGCCGGGGCTCTGCAGGCATGTCCACCTCTCCAAGATCATGGGCGTGGCCACTCCAGCACGGTGGCTTCAGGGTTGGTGGGCTTCTTACACAGTGGCTCAGAGCTCACAGTTGTGTGTCCAGAGACGGGGGAGCCAGGTGGATACTGGATCCCCTCAATGATCTGGTTTCCAGTAACTACAGAAGTGAGTCCCTGAGGCCAGACCTTTTTCAAGGGGAGGAAATTAGACTTCACCTCTTGAAGAGTGTCAGGGAGTTTGCAGAAAAGCTGTTTTACATTTTATGTTTTATAAAAAAAATTATTCTGGCAATTTCAGATGTATAGAAAAGTTGCAAAATATTACAAAAGAATTCCTAAATACCCTTGATCTAGGTCCCCCCCAAATTAATATTTTATTTTGTTACTTGCTTTGTTGTC